AAATCAGTGCAAGTTACCAACAACAAGTATCTGTGTCAAGAACAGTATAAGGGTGTTATGGCACAGAAAGCATTGACTAGGAGCCTCTGCATTGGCTGGGAATTGAACCCAGGTCTCCTGCATGGGAGGCAGGAATTCTACCATTGAACCACCAATGCTTGATGTTAAACAGAAGGTGCTGGACACCAACATTTATAGATCAGCAGCACAAATAACCTGACCCACTGGGCTCCTCACAGGGTCCTTTCAAAAGCCTCCTGGTTGCAGTGCAATGGTTGCTTTGCACAACTGCTGGACATCTGTCTGCTCCCTTCAGCATGTGCCTCCCTGGGCCTTCTGCATTACTTACAGGAGCCCAGGGAGAGGTCCTTGCTGCGTTCATCTGAAGTCAAGTAGAAGACAGGGGAGATGTGCATTTTTTTTGGCTAACTAAATAAGATATATGTAGAGCACAAGCTTTCGCGGGTTCACTTCATCAGATACTGTGAAAGGACAAGTGTAGAGCAGTGTGTAAAGTGGAGTGACTCATACATCTATATATGTATGCTGTAGGGCATGTACTATCTTTTCTGGGGCTACAGTATTGGAAGATGAAAAAGAGTGGAAGTGCTTGATGTATGGGCTACATCATACATATACATACAAACACATACATTTACACACATATATATATGTATATGAATATATATATATATGTATATGTATATATACGTACACATACATACATACACACTTTGGCTAGCGTGTATATATGTATGCACCTCAGGGGGTCACATCTAGTCCAACCCCCTGCTCCAAGCAGGACCAGCCCCAACTACATCATCCCAGACAAGGCTTTGTCTAGCCAGGTCTTCAAAACCTCCAAGGACGGAGACTCCACCACCTCTCTGGGGAGCCTGGTCCAGTGCTTCACCACCCTCCTACTACCCTGTATGTGTGTGTGTGTGTGTGTGTGTGTGTGTATGCGCATGCGCACACACACAGTGTGTACACATTGTGTGTGTGTATACCCCCCCACACACACACACATGGTGTATACATACACAGTGTATACATACTTTATCTATATGCAAACACACATACATATGTACATATATATACACACATTAACCAAAGTGTATATATAGATGTATGATGTAGTTCACTTCGTCAAATGCCCAGACCACACTATGGTGCTTCCATGGTTTATCATCATCCAACACTGCTGGCCCAGAAGAGATAGTACATGACCTACAGCAAACCCAGTAGCTTTTGGTTATTTGATCCTTTCTCATAGAGTGGTCCACTAAACCAGGGGATTAACACCCTGTCTGAACTTCTGGAGGGAACAGATGGTGGAAATGGTATTAGCATGTGATAGTGGCCTTTTCAGAGTAATTTATTCTACTGATTGTAGGTAGCAAGCATGTACGGGTGTGTGATTTCACATACACACACCCACACCCACTGAGACCTGTATTTGCTCAGCTTTTTTCTAATTAAGCCACTTGTTTAGGAACCTGAATCTATGTGCAGGCACCTGATTTAGGCCCCCAAA